TGCTCTTCTGGCTGCAGCAGCTGCTATTGCAGTCTGTCTCTAGGTTGCCCCTTCACTCTATCCTTTGTTCCCATGTGAATGTGCTATGCTTTCCTGGCTGGTAACTGCACCACACGTGCTTTTGCTGTGGGCAGAATGAGAGAGAGAAAAGGCAGAGGTCAGGTAATCAGTCTCTCCCCGCCCCATGAGGCCCATTCATCCTCCCCTGTCCAAGGAAAAATAAAATAAAGCTTTATCAGGTCTGAAGTGTATTATGCTGAGGTCACAGAGCAGATATTTTAATTTGAATCCAGATCTGAGTTACTGGACATTTTTATCTAGCCCATCCCTGAGAGCTTATACAAACACCTGTGGTCTAGGAAAATACATAATTCTGCCTTGGTGAAGGGAACTGAACTAGATGATCTATGGAGGTTCCTTTCAGTCCTGCATTTCTATGATTCTATTATTCTATTGTAATTAATTCAAGAAAGATGTCACATAAATGTGCTGCAGAACTTTTTAAAAAGTGAACAATTGTCCTGTTAAATAGCATAAAAACATTACAGTGAGACGAGAGTAGCTATGTCTGTAATTTTCATACTTTAAAAGTTTTGGCCATCTTTTTCTAAAATGGTATTAAAGAGATTTAAATAGATTGCTGTATAGCCAAAAACCTTCTTCAATGGAAGCATAAAGGACTTTTATAAATAATACACTTACTTAGCACTTTTTCTTCATTTACTGTAAACGGTCTTTACAGTAACATTTTCAGTTAGGTGTTTACTAATTTTGCATACGGGGAAACTGAGGAAGCAGTTAGATTTCTGAGTCATATTGTGGGATTTGGTTTCAGACCAGAATCATAACTCAGGAGCTCCTGACTCCTAATATTGTGCTTTCATTTATGTGCTTCTTACATGAAGGATGAATCAGAATAATTGCGTTCTTCATGCTAGTAAGAGAAGGTGCAACAGAATTGTATAAAAATAATTAACTTTCTTACATGAAGGATGAATCAGAATACTTGCGTTCTTCATGCTAGCAACAGAATTGTATAAAAATAATTAACAATATAAAGAAAGCAGGCCATCAAATTCTAGAAATGTCAGTGTGTAGACCATGCAATTAACTGGTAACCCTAGGCTTATCCATTAATCTTATCAACTACATGCCCTCCTCTTCCACCCTGCCCCCCACTTGCTGCCTTTGTATCAGATAGGGATATGAACAACTAGTTGACTATCTGATAAGCAGATGCTCTCAGAAAGATCCTTTGTATCAGATAGGGATGTGAACAACTAGTTGACTATCTGATAAGCAGATGCTCTCAGAAAGAGGCAGTGAGAGGCAGGGATGGAAGCGGAGGGGGTGCTTAAACGTGGCAGCACCTCATGTAGCCTGGGGCCTGCCACTTTGAAATGCTACGTGCAGCCCAGGGCCCCCTATAACATCTGTATAGTATAGGATAAAAACCATACAAAACACCACATTTAACAGGTGAGACCAAATTTCACTGTTTGTGATATGTTTTTCATGGCTGTGACTTTGGTAGGGCCCTACCAATGTGCATATAAGTGTGTATAAATTAGACTTCAGACAGTCAAGCAGACCCCATGCTACCCATGGTGTTTCAAAGCAGCAGTGCCATGTGGAGCCTGGGGTCAGCTGGGGACTCTCCTGCTAACCCCATGCTCCTTGCAGTGCTGCTGCTTTGAAACACCAAGCTAACCCCATGCTCCTTGCAGCGCTGCTGCTTTGAAATACCCCATCTGCTGCCGCTGCCGACCCCATCCCCCCGTGGCGGCCTCTGATAGAGGTAGCAGGGGGGGGAGGGGGCTGGACAGACTTCTCAGACACTTCGCCAAAGAATTAATGCCCACAAATCAGACATCTTCACAAGGAAAAACCAGTTGGTTTTCATTTCAACCTACCTGGACATAGTCTTAAAGACCTTACTACATGCATCTTACTTCAAAGAGACTTTAACACCAGATTACAGAGGGAAACTTCAGAACTTTCATTCATGCTTCAATTTGACACTTTACGAATGGGCCTTAACAAAGATGCTAATTACCTTTCACAGTACAAAAATAGCTTCCCCACTTATCACCCCTGATTAGCCATTCATTAACTCATAAATAGCTATTCCCTCCCTCCCTGCTTCTCCCTCGCCCCACCTTCTGTACTGTATCTGATTTGTCAGTTTAATAATGTGTTCACTTTTTTCTTTGTATTCCTTTGGTATATATGGTCATGCCAATTCTCTTCCAGAATATGAGCTGAAGAAGTGGGTCTGGTTCACGAAAGCTCATCACCTATTAAACCATTTTGTTAGTCTTTAAAATGCTGCATAGTTTTTCCTTTTGTTTTAGCAAGATCAGACTAACATGGCTACCTCTCTATTACCCTTGAAAGAGTTTTTCTTTTCATTTCATATTTTCATCTGACCAATTATTGCATGTTTGTGGGTTTATTTTACAATCTTGTGTGTCATAAGTTTTGAGAGAGCTATGTTTTTCTTTTTTAATATTTAAGATATGGTAGTTTGAATGGTAGCCTAACACATTACATGCTAACTTTTTGTGACCTATTTTAACTCCTCCAGCATGTTGGGAGGTTGCAATAGATAGGAAATTGAAATGTATCAGTCTAGAGGTCCTAGAAGTATCTTGTGCTGTTTTAAATTTGTTGAGCCATGGGAAGTGGCCATTTGTGCAAGTGCAATAAATTTTCAGAACTGTTTACATTTTCTGGCAAGGTTCCAACTCCTGCTATGCTTTATTGTGCAATTTTCTGATATCTTCTGAGTTTGCTGTAGTATTTTAGAATGACTGTGTGGATGTATAGCTTTTCTCAAAACTCTAGCTATGTTTTTTGCAGTTTTTTTAAAGAAAGAACTTGGGTTTTAAAAATGGGTGGTATTTTCAATATTAATTATATCAGTTAAAAATCCGATTTTTTTTTTTTTTAGAATTATAGTTCTAGCATTTTGAAGATTGATATAAAAGGTTATAATTTAATATAGAAACACAGAATAACTTCATATTTGTAGGGGTGAGAGCACTGGCAAAATTTGTGGGCCAAATTCACCATTGGATTAGTGTGAGAACCTGGGATGTGAACGTGTTGTCATTTACATGATTAACCAGTGAGCCTGGGCAGCAGTGTGAGGAGTGGGGGGCTGGGTGGGAGCTAGTGCTCGTAAGGAGCTGGCTTAAAGGAACTCTTGCTCCTGCTTGTTCCGCTGCATGTAAACGTTTAACCATTGAAATTTACAGTGGTTACACGTTTACAAAATTAAATGCATTTTAATATCTCTAGTGAGGACCAAATTTGTCACTGGCAAAAGAGTGAAATCAAAGAAGAGTAAATTTTTGAAGTGAGCAGATGTTGAATCTGCCTGTGAGGGATGTGAATAGTTTTGAGAGTTCTAATAATCTCCACTCTGCTGCAGATTTCCTGACTTAGCTTCTCTAAGCTTTACTTTGTTTGTAAAATAGGGATAATACCACCTTTGTAAAATTCCATAGAAGTGCAAAGTGTTATTTCTCAAGGGATTTAAAATAATTAATGTTGTTCCCCTTCAAACAAGCCAATATAGTCATTTAGATGTTCCATCACTCTGGTTCACCTAGGTTCACTCCTGATTTTTAAAGCTTACTAGACAAGCTCTGCCTCACATCTGCAGTGCAGCGGGCTGAGGGGCGTCAGAGATGGGAGGATGCATTGGCGAGATGGGGCAGGCGAGCAGGCGGCGGAGGGGAGGGCAGGGCAGGGCACAGGAAGACTATCAGGTTGGGGGGGCCGAGGGAGGGACAGGTGCAGTGTGACAGGCAGGAACTTACTTCCAGCCTCACTGCTTGCGGCATCTTCTGCTTCTCTTTGTCCCTGGGCCTGATGTGCCATTTGGAGAAGGTATTGTGCCACGGCAGCAGTTGCTCAATGGACCGAGAGGCACTCTACCCCAACCGTCCCCACCTGCTGGATAGGCCACCCCTGGGGCACAGGACCAGTGTGGGGACCTGGCCCATGAGCCGCGTGCCCCAGTGGGCACAGGTCTGCATGGTACCACTGCCACTGCCAGCTTCCCTCTGCACCTGCCAGCCACTTGCTAGGAAGGCGCTGAACCCTGCCCCAAGCCCCTGCCAATGGCAGCCCAAGAGGAGGGGCTCAACCTGGACCACCGTGCCGCCTGCCATTGCGTCCACTCCCACCTCCGGGCGAGATTCCCCTCAACTCATCATTTCTCACTCATTCTGACATTTTCTAGAAACTTCTCAAGTCTTCCAGTGTATTCTCAAATGTTCTCTGTGACAGACAGCATGCCAGATACCTGTCCTTTAATAATACAATAGGTTTGTATGCAACATGGATGACAATGGTTTATGCAGGTTCCTCACTGGCATCAGATAGTCTCTTCCCTTATTGTGTTAGGCTGAGAATGTTCAGTAGCTAGCCTTTTAATTGTAAGCCGACTGGCAGCCAACACTGGAAACTCAAGTTATTGGCTTTCTGATTGGCCTGTAGATTAACATTGCCAGCAGGTCAGCCTGCATAAAACTTATGGCCATATGGAGACATTTAAGTATGAGATTTTTCAGATTTCCATTCTAAATACAGTTGTAATACATAAAGGTATTTTGATGTAGATATTTGAGATTCACTGTTGGATATAAACTCAGTTGATGCAAAAACAAAATAAGTTCATTATTAATTAGGATACAGAGAGTTAAGATAATATATTGGAATCATTTCATATCAATCGCTCCCAACATATCTGCATATCACTTAAGGACTGTGTTTTAAAACATAAGGAAAATGAAAAGGAATATTTCAGTAGCTTTTGTTGTTCAATTAGAAACAAATTTGTTCAAAAATATTTAAGTGTTATTCATAGATCTATTCCTTATTCAAGAGGTATGTTGTTTAAGTGTTCCATAGATTAATTATTGAGTAAATTACTTTTGTAGTAATAGATATTAAGTGCTTTATTGTTATAACTTACTTCCTAATTACAGGGATTTGAGAGAGGAGACAAAAGCCAATTTTCTACTTTTAGCAGTTTTATTTCCACTATCAACCAAAAGAAAGAAGCATCCGAAAGCAGCAACTCACCTACTCAACTTGTTATACCCAACATAAAAAATGGTAAGAGAATACAATGCTTTGTTAAGTTAAGTTACTAAATTACTATGGGATATGTTCACTATGCTGCAAGCATGAATTATCTGTATTACCATAGTGCCTTCAGACCTTGACTATGTTGAGTCTCCATTATGGTAGGCACTGTATGAGCGTGTAGTAAACAGTCCATGGCCTGAAAAGCTTACATTCTAAAAGATAATACTCAACAGGTGAATGGGCTGTGAGATGGAGAATGGAGGACAAAGAAATAGTAATAATCAGAAGTTTTAATGTAGACTTACTATATGCACAAATAGCAAAGCTAGTCAATAGTAGCAATCACAGTAATCACAGCTTGCCACCTGCCTGTCCATTGTCAGATTGCAGATATTTTTAGACATCACAGCAGAAATGGATTTTAAGGACGTATCTCAAGTAGGGGTGTAGGCAATTAGTCAACTACCCGATAAGCACATGCTTATCGGGTAGTCGAGTAGTGACTCGACTAGTCTCTTCCCACCCTCTTTGCTGCCTTTATCAGAGAAAGGCAGCAAGGGGAATAGCAGGAGCCAGTGCTGGGGAGAGCTGGTTTAAAAGCACCGTCTTGGGTGGAGGCAGGGGAGGCAGAGGCATAGTAGGGACTGGGCACCTCTGCTTTTTAAATATATTAAGAGCTGGCAGTCCCTTTAATACGTTTAAAAAGCAGTGGTGCAGCGATGGGGACTGGGAGAGAGCTGGGAATCAGCTGTCCTGGCTTGTTCCCAGTCCCTTCTGTAGCACATTTGCTTTTTAAATATATTAAGTGCTGCCAGGCCCTTATCCACAGCTTGTGGATAAAGCCTACATAGCACATCTGCTTTTTAAAATATTAAGTGCTGCCGGGCCCTTATCCACAGCTTGTGGATAAAGCCTACAGGGGAGGTGTTTTATGAAGGAAGCCACTGGCATTTGGTCAATTCAGGCCTTCATTGTGCATCCTTACCTTGAATCAGGGCTAGGGGTCCTGAAACTAAAGGCTGCGTCCAGTTCCCTGTGGCCCTCCCTCTCACCCTTATGATTGTAAATAAAATCTTTCAGATGTAAACTGAACATAAAGTGGTGTGGTGCTGTTAGTCAGAAATAGGGTGACCATGTTTCCCCATGCCAAATATGGTACATCAAGGGGGGGACCTGCTGGTGCTTGGGACTTCAGCCCTGGGGGGGAGGGGGAGAGGGGTGGCACTTGGGGCCTCAACCCTGCAGTGGGGTGTGCATGTATGTAGAACTCAGTGCTCAGAGCAGGCCCAGCCCTGCCCCCTCCTGAAGCAGGATGCCTATAGCCGGGAGGGGGAGGGTTAATCCCTTAGCTCCTGGGAGCTACACTCCCAGGCTGTGCAGAGGCAACTGCAGGGATGCACGCATGCCTCTCCCACCCCCTTTCCATCAGGAAGGGGGGTTAGGGAGGGGTAAGTGAAAGGACGTGAGGGAGGAATGGGGCACAAGCCCCCGGTGGGGAGGACCGGGGAGGCTCTGAGGGCTCCTCGGGGTGGATGCTTTCCCTCAAGGCCTCCTGGATCCTGATAGCCCCTCAATGGACCCCCCCCTCCCCCACAGGGCAGCTTGCAGCAAGTGCAGCTGGGCTGATGGCAACGACCCCACAAGACTCACTGGTGTGCCCAGGGGCTGCTCTGGCTCCATGTGGCCGAGTGCTGTGGTGTCCCGAGTGTGGGCACTCAAGGCATTCCAAGACAGGACTGCTTTGCTGTCCTTCATCGAGGTAGACAGGCAAGCGGGGAACCCTGAGAACTGTCTGTCCAGGGTGGGAGTAGGGTCCCTTTAAGCATGGAGCTCAGTTAGCCTCAGGCAGCAGCTCCACACACTCAGTCCTAACCTGATGCCCTGCCAGCACTGGTTCTGACCAGTCTTAACTTCGGCTCAGAGTCCACTCAGAGTGGACGTGCTATTTCAAAATAGCAAAACACTATTTCGAATTAGTTTTTGTCTATAGATGCATTATTTCGAATTAGCTTAATTCGAATTAACTATTTTGAATTAAGTTAATTCAAAATAGTGCTGTAGTGTAGACATACCCAGACTGTCCTGGGAAAAATGGGACAGATGGTCACCCTAGTCAGAAACAGCTCTGAAAAGTGTAAAATTATCCATTCAAATCAGTGCAGTTTTAATTCTGGAAGCTAACAATGACTATTTGTGAATGTGTTAAATTAGTTGCTAATTCATTTTAACAGAAATATACAGTGAATGTGTTTTATTCCACATTCCCAAACCACTTTCTTTGTCTTGCTGCTACCTCAAACCCCAGTTGTTTTCTCTTGAAAAATTGTATCTTTCAGTCGTGTGTTGTCAGTACAAAAACTGGCAGCACAGGAGACCCTCATTATTTGTGGAATCGCTGTTCATGGTTCTGTGTATTCATGGCTCTCCTGTCCAGGCCTGTGGTAGAATTCACTGCAGTTCCTGCGATGAGTTTCCTGAGGCTGCCTGAAGCTGCAGGGAACTCAGTGCAGCTGCTAGGAGTCCTGGTGAGTACCCTTTGGCTCCTTGCAACTGTGGTGAGTTCACTGCGACTACCAGGAGCAGCAGGAAATTCATTGCATGTACCAAGAGCTGCGGGGATCTCACCACAGTTGCCAAAAGCTTCATTGTTCCCTGTGGCTCATTGTGGTGAGTTCCCTGCGGGGGGCTGGGAGCTGCAGCTCCTAGCGTTCGCAAATTTCTCTATTCACGGTGGATGTGTATGTGGAAAGTAAAATTTACTATCAAAATAATTAACCCATTGGATATAGTACAGGGGTCAGGGCTCGACAAATAATGTAATCTACTTGCCCATGGCGAATAGATTACAACCCGGAAGAGCTGGCGCGGAGTGATCTGTGCATGCGCAGAGGGCAGAACCGCACGAAACCGTGCGGCTGGCGAGCGGGGCTTGCTGCCGCTTGGCAAGCTCTAACGGGTGAGCAATAATTTTTGCCCAGGGGCCACTTCAAAAAAATTTGAAGTAGCTCAAGGCCGCTCCAGAAGGAGTGGAGCCCAAATGTGACTAGGCAGGGCTACCCCACCAACAGGCCATGATTGATCTGGGGGTAGGAGAACCCTTTTTCCCCCTTTCCCACTAGGCACTCATGACCTGGAAGAGGCGGGGGAGTGCGGGAAGCACTTTGAAGTGCCATGGACTGCTCGCAGGGCCGGTGAAGGAAGCTTCATGCAGCTCCCCCGCCCACGGGCTGTAATTGGCCTGGAGGTGGGTGAGCAGCAGGACCTCCACGGGCTGGATCCGGCCCGCGGAGCCCATTTTGGCCACCCCTGATAAAGAACATAGTACCTTTTGTGAATTCATGCCTATATTTAAATTTTTTAAAATGTCCATTTTTCAGTTTATCTGTAGTTGCCAGAGTATATCTTGTACTTCATTGAGTGCTAGAAACTTTCTGAAAGGAACATGAAGGTGTGGTTTATGTTATGCCTACAATAGGAATTTTTTTTAACTTGGTGTATTCATTCAGAAAAAACACTACTTTTGGCTGTGACAATATTTTCTTCTTATGCAAACAGTGCTTCAAACATTTGAGTAGTCTCACAGAATTTGCTAGAAGAACTCACATTTTTGCTGAATCAGGACCTAATTTCATAACATTCTGTTATGATAAGGGGTGGAATTTTTTTCAAAATTTGTGTGATTGTGTCTTTCTTAGATTGTATTTGATATATAAATTTCTGCTTTGTGAAATTGCTCGTTGAAATAACAACAACAAAAAAGCTTTTCCTTGGTATTCCTTTATTCCAATGAGAATTACAGCATTTGTTTAAAAAATCCACAGAAGTGAATGAATACATTAAAATGCCTTGAAATGTTAAAGCTAGTGAAATTTGGTATTTGCCATGACTGAGATGAAAAAGCATCTTGTCCAAAGAGACTCCTTTTTTTTTGCATCAACATCTTGGACTGAGAGAACCCAATAGACTTTTGATAGAAATTTCTGTCCCCCAAACATTATAATTCGTATAAGGTAATTAATTAAACAGCTTATCACAAACTGTAAAGAGACATTTTATAATGATATTAATTTACCCAAGATTCCTCTAAATTTTAATCTTACTCTTATGTCTCTAAATCAATAGTTATAGTGATAGACAGGAGCAGTGTATTTTGTGGTCAGCATATATGTAAGATATAAGTAAATACATATAACCAGGGCTCGCCAAGCAGCAGCAAGCCCCGCTCGCCAGCCGCACAGTTCTGCGAGCAGCGCATGTGCAGATCGTGCGGTGCATGCACAGATTGCGTGGCGCCAGCTGTGCCAGCTTGTAATCTACTCGCTACAGGCGAGTAGATTACATTATTTGTCGAGCTCTGCATATAACTAGTATTAACCAATAATTTCTAACAAAACAGGTTTGCTTTTCAAAGCGCTTAACTAACAAGCATTACCATTTACTTGCTTTTATCACAAGCCTCTACAGGTTGACTCTAGGTCATTTGGTCTGGGATTTTTTTTAACCATTTCTGACAATGGGTACATCTAAACTACATCCCTCTTTTGAAAAAGGGATCTAAATTAGACATATTGAAATTGCAAATGAAGCCGGTATTTAAATTTCCCATGCTTCATTTGCATAATCATGTCATGGTGTTTTTTCAAAAAACGCTATTTCAAAAGTGAAACCGTGGTCTAAACCTGGTTCTTTCAGAAAGAAAACCCTTTTTTGAATAACCCTGTAAACCTCATTTTGGAGGAGTACAGGATCTTTCAAAAAAGGCTTTTCTCTTTGAAAGAACCATGTCTAGATTGAGTTTTCACTTTCAAAATAGCATTTTTTTAAAAAATGCCATGATGCAATTATGCAAATGAAGCAGGGGAAATTAAAATCCCGGCTTCATTTGCAATTTTGATATGTCTAATTTACATTCCTCTTTTGAAAGAGGGATGTAGTCTAGACATAGCCAATGTGTCTTTCTTGGTGCAAGATTTGTTTCAACTATAACCTTGTCTACATTGAGAAATAAGGTCAATTTTTAGTACCGG